TGTTTTAAGCAAAGATGGCCAATGTGTGGAATGTTAGGTTTGCACTTTTTGGCGATCATGTGTGGCCAGGAGGTTGCACAATGTACACCCTTCCAAATGTTGCAAACTACTTGCATGGTTAACATTGCGAGTGCAGGTATTTCAGTAGGATTGTGGCCCGTGTCTCTATATGGAGAAATCCAAGCAAAGTTTGGGAAAGGTCCACTTACAGGAATACAAATCTCAGGATCCCCTATTAGGTTGGCCAACTATGGGCCTCCAAATATTGCAGGGCTTACATTATCTCGAGGTTGCCTTGCTAATAGCAACGAAGGACAGGAGCTCCAGTGTGAAAAATTTCTGGAGGGCTCTTGTTTCCCACCCCTGTTCCTTGTAGTCTTGAATCAAGAGTTTGCATAAGAGCTGCATTCATTTCCAGAAGGAACCCATCAAATGAGTTTTGCTGTAAGCGGTAGCAACACATCTGGGACCACTTTGGGGAAACCACAAAGACACACACATTTCTGAATGACAGCCTTCACCATCTGAAACCCCTCCCAGATCCTGTTGCGTCTCACTTGAGACCAGACCCATACGACCACCTAGCCGTTCTCAGGCTTTCTCTTTCTGGGGAATCTTTTCCCAATTACCACCGACCCTATCAGTGCCAACAAGGTGCCCAGGTTAGGTTGCGAAACTCACATCTGGGATTCCACTCCACTGTGAGATTCTGTAGATGACATGGGGCTAGTCACTGCCCAGCATCCTTCAGAATAATCTCCCTCACAAGATTTTTGTATCAATAAAAGAGAGACGTCAGGGGCAAGAAAGAGAACCACAAAGACACCTTTGAGCTCCTTAAAGGAAGGATTGAATAAATGTGAATGAACAGTCATGAATCCCAATTACTGGAGTTCAGGAAATCTAGGCAATGTGGTGTCGCAGTTAGAAAGTGGTTGGCCATACAAAATCCAGAACTGAAGTTGCTACTGAGCTCTGAAATGTATTGGATGACCCCAAGCCATTCGCACACTCTCAGCCTGAACTATATCACAGTGTCCCAGGTGAATGAAAAATATGTCTTCATCAAACCTCACATGCGCCTTCCATCACATCTAATGGAGTAAAATAATGGCAGCCATCATTTTAGAAACTTTCATCACCACAGTAGATTATCTTATAAAGAAGGCCCTAATAAACTCTTTGACAGGTTTGGCAACAATCACAAAGCTACTGGCTTGCCCTCCTTTGAACACACCACATGGGGCTGGAGGTGAAAGAGTTGCCTTCGTTTCCATGAGCCAGTTGACCCACCGAGGTTGCTGGGGAAGCCTTCTGCTGGCTTTAGAAACAGGGGTCATGAAACAGGGCCTTTTGGGTTGTAGCACCAAGACTTCAGCACCCACTCTCTCAAAGGTTCATCCATCTGTCCCTTTCCCAGGCAATGAATCAATATGAAAGCAAATCCTTGATTCTATTGACCTTAGTTACAGGAGGGTAGATTCTGATCGCAAAAAAAAGCTTCATAAGACCAATTCAGCAACAGAATCTAATTGTCATTGGGTGGTTAGCTTTCCCTTTTTTGAGGATCTCCAAGCAAAGGCCATCTTATGGTCAGCTCTGGATTTCTTGCATTAGCAATGAAGTGGACTAAGTTGGCCTTCAACTGCACCCTCCAACTTTGTGATTTCGTGTGACTTCCATGGTAGTGAATTGTTACTCCTGCCTCTCCAGGTTTCATTGAAGTGACTCACTCTCTTACTAATTTTGCTTTGTCCTGCTTTGTTGTTGTTGTTGTTGTGCCCTGATCATGTTTCTTGAAGTTGTACCCAGATTTGAATCCCAATCAACAACTGCAAGTGCCACCCTCATGAAAACTAGGGAGAACTTGAATTGCAGCAAGGCTCATCTGCTTTCCATAGCAGGGCGTAACTATGGACTGTGTGAAGCCAGAATAAACTGTCCTGTCCTTGGGAAGCTGCAGAGAAATTCCAGTGAGCACCTATACAGCTGGATAAAGGGGAAGGTTTTAAGATCAAAGAGACAGTTGTTGCCAGAAAGATGTGCGGTGTGCATTTTCCTTTCCAGAAAACAACTTCAGACTTAAGGGTCTCTCTCTGTCTCAGGTTTTAGAAAAATACAAGCCAAGTCACAGGGCTATTTGCCCTCTTCCAATTGAAACAGACTGCTTATTTTCTTCAGATAAATTAATCTTAGATGTCAATCTTAGAACTCCAGAGCTGGAATGGACCTTATGGGGCATGGAGTCCAGCCCCTGACCAGGAGGCACAGTGGGGAATTCAAACTCCCAACCCTTGACCCCACAACTTAAACCACTGAGCTACCCAGCAGTTTGCAGGAACTCCGAGCTTCTTTCCCACTACAGCATATGTTGAGGTGCTGTGGAGAACAGAATGCTCAGCTAGTTTGAAGCTGAGAAAGTTATTTAAAAATAGCAGATGATGTATTCAGGTTTTGAGCTTCTTCCCCATTTCAGCATATGTTGAGGTGCTGTTGAGAACAGAATGCTCAGCTACTTTGAAGCTGAGAAAGTTATTTAAAAATAAAAACCTGCAAATGTTAGTGCCCATCCCCCAGCTAGCATGTTTTACTCCAACCTAAATTTAAAAACAAAATTAGCAGCTGAGAAAGGCACTCTGGTGTAAACTCCAAACCATAAAAACCAGGAGGGACAATTCCCTTCTGTTGAAGCCTCAGAGTTTGTACCGGCCTCGCGACTATTGAGTCTGATCCAGCCCAGCATTTCTTATGTGTCAATGTCCAAAACCACAGCATACTATGAGCAACCACTTCTCGCCGCTGATGAAAAATATATACCAAAAATACCAGAGGAAAAAAAAATGTTATTTGACATTCCAAAAATGTATTTGACATTCCATACCCATGTCACAATACAGTGAGCTCCCTTTATTTGAAGCAAATGCCATGCAGTCGTCTCTATGTATCTGCTCCAAAGTAAGTATTACTGTGTTTTTTTTTCTGGGAAACTTATACCCCAGGGAAGTATTCAGAGAGTTTCAGCCTTGGCAATCACATGTCATTTTCGGCCACCCTGCCTTTTTAATTTGCTAAACATTGAAGTCACAAGAACCCTGCAAAGTCTAAGTGTTCCTACTCGTCTCATCATGGACTTGAAGGATCAGACAGACATTCTGAAACAGTACAGGACTTGATTCCCTTCATCGAGAGCTGTCTAAACACAATATAAAAAAGCACTGGAGCAGATGGAATCAAAGGAGCCAGACAGATTCTGAACCCGGGCTTTCTAAGGGGAAAAAAGCAACATCTCGGAATGTTTACTGCCCCAACTTGCCAACAATTAGCAAGCCATCTCTTTCTGCCTCGTTAATTCAGGGAACTGCAAGTCTGCTTGACAAACTATAGGTTGCTATTTTTGTTCTAAACATACCTCTGCCATGAACAGACTGGCTGGATAGCTCAGTGGTTTAGGTCTCAAAGGTTGGGAGTTCAACGAAGAAGAGCCAGCCTGTGTAGCCTTGGGCAGAGGCTGGGTGTTCAATGCCCCCACTGTGCAATGAAGAAGAGCCAGCCTGTGTAGCCTTGGGCAAGCTGCACAGTCCCAGGGCACCCCCAGAAGAAGGGAATGGTCAACCCCTTCCGAGGAAAAACCTGAGAAGTCTCACCACAAGTCAGAATTGACTTGGTGACACATTATCCCGGTAAAACAAGGAGCATCTTTAAGGTGTTCCTAGATTTTCCTCTCCTGGATTCAGGCATTTCTCTTGCAGTTTATGTTCCAACCATCTTCCAAAAGAATCCAAGGCAACATTGGAGCAGTTCCTTTCCTTTCCTTTCCTTTCCTTTCCTTTCCTTACAACAGCCTTGTAAGGTAGATGATGTTGAAAGAGAGTGAGTATCCAAAGACCTTAATGGTGGATGTGAGATTCGAATCCACTTCTCATCAGTGCAAATGTAGCATTTCATCTTTTAACCCACCACATAAGCTTTTCCCCCAGAATGAGGAATGCAACATTGAAATACACTGTGTTGGACCACAGACTTTCTCCAGGATTCATTGTCTAGCCCCTCTCGAAGACCGTCGACTGGGCTGGGCAGGTGGTTTCCTCCTGATAAGCATGGGGCAGGACAAATTGTTTTTTACCCTAATAGGATTTTAAGTCAGGATCATCCCACCGTGTTTAGTTTAATTCCTACCCTGCTCCCCCACATGGAACGACTCATCAAGTTCACAAAAAGGTTAGGAAGACGACCAAACGGCATCCTCAGATCTCAAGCCGCTCCGTCTAAAGTGGCGGTCAAAGCACATCCAGTCACTGAGGAAGTTCAGAGAAGATCTGGTGGGATTACTTTCTGAAGTGGGAAGGGGTCCTGCCGGGAGAATCAGGAAGACAGCAAGCTGCCTCCCACCATGTCTCTGCCCATCTCTTTCTTGGCTACATCATCTTTTCCCAACCTGGCCCCTCACTACTGTTGTGGACTACAACGCCTGCCTATAAGGGGGATGATGGGAGTTGTAATCTGGCAACTGTGGAAGGTTACCAGTTCAGGGAAGCTGATCTACTGTGAACTGCTGGCAGGTCTGCAAAGTTCCTTCTCCGTTGCACCTGGAGAGGCTGAAAATCCAAACTGGCATCTTTTGAACTCGAAGCATGCGCTCTTCGGTCGAGCTATATCCCAAACTCACCGGAAGGCAGGAACACCTTATCTATTTCATGCCTCTCCCATCGGGATGCCAGTAACCCCAAGCTGGGGACTGTTTCTTTCTTTAAACTGAAACTAAAACCTAAAAAAAAAAAATTAAAATTGGGGATTCCAGTTGTAGGCTGGGACAAATGTCCTCCCTAGTTCTGCATCAGCCAACTAACAAAATCCTCAGGAAAAGGAAAAGAAGACCCAGAACATAAACCAAACCAGTGCCCCACCATCCCACATTCCTTCTTACTGGATTACAACTATTTCTGTAGTTTCGCCTATAAACACACATCTTGCAAAAAAAAATCTCTGATGGTTGTCCTTACCTAGCAGACCTGGGCAGGATGGGCTGTGGGAGACGATCCTCGTGCACTCAGCGTCTCTCCCAGACTGATCCTTGAAGCCCTTGGACAGGGCTTCTTGTCCTAGCACATTTCACCAAATTTTGCTTCCAAAAACCCCTCCCAGTGCCCACCCCCTCCACCCTCAGCCAACAGCAGCCGAGGCTCGGCAGGGTGATATCATGCTGGGTTTTTTCCCCTGTAATCTGAGACTGGCTTGTGGCATTCCTGGAGTACTCCTGCTAGGAAGTAATAGGGAGAGAGAGAGAGATGAGAGAGAGAGGAAGAAAAGGGGGGCCTGATTGCTTTCTAGGAAGCTTATAATAAAAACAGGACAGACAGTGAGCCCTCTAACCTTGGGTGACGTCGACTGGAATCTACTTATTGTATTGGGGAGGAAGGATGCAATTAAACAGAAAACACGTGCAGAGGACCATAATGGGCTACTTTATTTTCACCCGCTTCCAAAGATGTATGCACTGCCCTTTGCTGCACCCACTTACGAAAGATCAACATGAAAAGAGGAAGGGAATGAAAGGAAAGGCAGCAGGAAACGGTGCCAGTTTAAAGCCCCGACATGAGGACAGCTTGCAGGAGCAAAACAAACCAGCAAACAAAAAATGAGGGCGCAAAACCACCAGGGACGTTGGCCAAGTCTTTGGGTCAGAGTCTCAAGTCCCTATTAAAAACAAGCTTTCCTCCCCAGGGAAAAAGGGAGGGGTGGGAGGTTTCTAAGTCGGAAGTCGAATCCAAGTCATTAAAAAAAGGGAAACCCAATTGAGTCACCGGTAGGACTGAAGTCCAACTTGACGGGGAGTCCCGTGGCTCATGTCCCCCCCCCCATTCCTGAAAAATATAAAGAGATCTGCAAGGATCAGTTTTAATCATCTGCAGAAAGGAAGAAAGGTCGTTGCCTAGTGATCTCAAAATAAACCACAGACAAACTTCCCTGGGAAGGGCGTTCCTTCAATGGGGTGCTGATGGTCCGGCTCTACCATCAAGAAAAGGGAGGGAGGCCCCTTAGACATCAGGGGCTGGGAAGTAGCAGCAATATTTTGTGACAAGAGCTGTGTGCCATGCAGCCTGTTCTGCCTGCCTGCCTACCTGCACATTCACTGCCTTCAGGTGTAGTAGAAGATGTTGTCCCTTCACCAACATTGAATAAAGATTCTACCGCCTGTCCAGTCAACTTTGGCGCAGCGCATGGAATGGGAGGTGGTTTTCTTCTTTGCCTCAGGCAGGAAAATGCCTTGAACTGCCCCTTGTCATCACCACCATGTCTCCTTTCTCTGCCAACATCCACCAAGCTTAGAGGAGGAGAGGTGTCCAGAATATTTGTCCACCTAGATTATTTCCCACTCTGCCCCCAACATTAGGTCTACCTGGATCCTAGTATATGGATGAGCCACAATTGAAAGAAATCCCAGCTTTGGATCACAGCTCCCAGAACTGCCACCTCTCAGACAATGGTCAGGCTGTGGGATTTCTGGGAAATATAGTTTACAAAAGTAATTACAAAAAAAGCAATTGCTAAAGCATTTTGTTCAAGCTCTGGCTGTGTCCATCTGGATATACACAGGCCAGAATCCTGTTGAGAAAATGTGACACGGAAGGGCAATCACATTAAGTGGTTGTTCTGAATAAGATTCTTGCCAGTCTTTCTCGTGCCATCATCCCAAGGCTTTTATGGTGGTGGGTGTGATTACAGGAGATGGTTGGATAGCTCCACGGGTTGGGTCCTTGGCGACAGAGCCAGAGGTTGAGAGCTCGATTCTAGACTGCCTCTCATGGAAAGAGTCTGTATAGCCTTGGGCAAGCTGCACAGTCTAGTGGAAGGGAATGGCAAACCACGTATCCTATACCAAAGCAACTGTGGACAGGGTCACTATGTTGACTTGATGGCATTGTTAAATTGTGACAATGATTACTTCAGGAAGAGGACAAACCAAAGATAAAAAGCTCACTCCCAAACTTTAGAAGGGATATTAATTAACACCAACCTCCATCTTTCAAATATCCATAAAGTAATTCACGCATTAGCAGATGTGTTCCAGTGGAGTGGAGAATCTCTCCAGCTACATTTCTATGTCTATGTGTACCTGTATATCTCTTCTCCACTAGGATGGAGGAGAAGAAGAATGAGACATAGATAGAAGCAATCAGAACACGTCATCCCAGAAGTAAAGTCAGCTGAAACCAGTAGTTGGTACCAGCAGGTGGTAAAACTTGATGGACCCTAATGTTCCTGGAGGAATCATTTTGCTCCACCTTGCTCAACCCGGGGTCTTCCAGATGTGCCAGACTATGAAAGCTCTCCCCACTCTTTGCCAGCATGGGCCATTGCTATCATGTTGGTTGGTAAAGATCAACACATCCAGAGGGCACCAGGTTGGGCAAGTTGGATGTAGGCCATAGAGGGGTGGGCAGCCAATTGTGTCCACCTTCACCTAATGTAGCCTCATGGCCTTGTCTGCCTATTATTCATACAAGTAAGTAGGAAAAGAGCCTTCTGAAACCATGGGTCCTGTTTAAGGGTAGGAAGAAGGGAGGGGGGGAGAGAGAAAGAGAAAGAAAGAATACCCACAATACTGAGGAAGAATGAGAAAATTCATTCAGTGTAACTGTTAATGAAATACGTAGTTTTTGTTAAGTTAAGGAAAGGAGGCCACTCTCTATATTTCTTCATTGTCTACTGCCTCTCAGATGAATATATTCAATTTCCTGTGTCATTTCAGTCAACCTCCACATGTTGACTAGCCTGCAGATTCACATCATTTATTCGCCATCCCATTCTCACCACAACAGACAGACTTCCAACCAGTTCATGATTCATTCCAAAATCATCAGTGAGTTTAAGCAGTGTGTGTGTGTGCGAGGGGAGTAGTCCATAACGCCTTCACTGCATTAACCTGTGTTGGGGGATCTCCATCGCCAGGCCAGATGTGACCTGCAGAAGTTTTGCATCTGGCATGCCAAACTCTTCTGCTTTTGACAGTCAGTAATCGGAAACTTTATTTAAATGTATTATATTAAAAACAATCCTGCTGCCAAAGTTTCTAATCTTTGCCAATCAGTATTTAATATCTTGCCTCACCCGGCATTAACTTTAGCTTGGGCATTTATCCAGCATCTCTCATTTCTAACCTCTTTTTTTTTGAGTAATATAAGCTGGCTGGATAGCTCAGTGGTTTAGTTATGTGGCTGCGGAGCCAGAGGTTGGGAGTTTGATTCCCCCCACTGTCCCTCCTGGGAGAAGAGCCAGCCTGGGTAGCCTTGGGCAAGGTGCACAGTCCCAGGACACTCCACAGAAGAAGGGAAGGGGAAACCATTTCTGAGTTTTGTCTGCCTGAAAAAGGATCACCATAAGACATAATTAACTTGATAGCACATGACGACGATGATGAATAGAATAGTAGTGTCAAGTGCCACTGACATAATACTTCTCAAACTTTTTAATATATATTTCTAGTAATAAAGGACCAAAAAAAGAGGTTGCCTTAGGGCTAATCCAGACTGGTCATTTTGGGTGTGGGGAGGATCAGTCTTCAAAGGGGCTGTTGAGGTTCGGACGGAGGGAAGAGTGATGTGCGGTTTGGCATGCTCGCCCCATCCATACAGCAAACGACCCCTTGAAGCCTGATCAGCTGTCACTTAAGTGATTTCCCTGATCATCTGTGGAGGGGTCAGGAGTAGTGATTTTTTAAAATATATATATTACTCATCTCTTCCTTTACCAGTGCCATTCTGTTTTCTCCCTCTCTGCTTCCCTTACCTTGCTCTTCCCCCACTTTTTCTCTGAAACTCTCCCTCAGAATCTGCAGCTGCAGGAGGCTGCTATCTCACGGCTAAACAGGCTAAACCATGAGCATGCCCAAAAGAATGCATGTCCTACCACTGGGCGAGAAAGATGAACAACAGCTCTTAAAGGGGAAGGAGGGGTCATTCTCAGTAGAAAGACTTGTGGACAAGGTCTTTCCCCCCCTGCCCCTGATTCAAACTGTGCCATCAGCGATCTGTCTATTATATCTATCTGCCAGTCTTTCCCCCCTGCCCCTGATTCAAACTGTGCCAGAAGCGATCTGTCTATTATATCTATCTGCCAGCGTGGACAGGCCCAAAGCTGCATTATACAGTAACACAGCTGCCTGATCTGGAACATTACAGGGAGAATTTAACAACCCTCTTTGCCCATTGTGAGATTCTCTGTTGGATGTACGATCCAAGTAAATGCGAGGTAGGTGTGAGAGTGAAAACTACTGGGATTGCAACAGGAGTGTTGATTTATGTCAAATTAAGTTTTATTCACTTAATTTGGGTGAATGGGATGGGGATTAATAGGGAACTTGGAAATGTTTATTTGTTTAAATTACAATTGCCAAAAGTCCCAGTCAGCATGTTAATGGAGGATTTGCGGACACGTAGTCCAAAACAAACAAACAAACAAAATCCAAACCTTTTCTCATAGACTAGAACGGATTCTGACTTACTGTTTACATAATACAGTTAAGGAATTTTAATGGATCCTGAGCATGATTTGGTGCTTTCACAATGAGGATCCTCTTGTCTATCCTGAAGCTTAGTTTGAACATTTTTTTCTTCAACCCTGCTGTGGCTGGAAGGAGCTTAAAGGACATGCCTGAATTTTGGTGGCATGCATGGGCACCTCTCCTGTACTCACAAGCTTGCCCACATGGACCAGACTGAATGATGGACTGTGATGCAGCCCAGACAGATCAGAAGGTGCCAGCTCATTCCTCAGCAAGGACGCTAAAGCAACCGTCAGTTCTGCTAGCAACAGAACAAACAAGGGGTGGAAAAAGCTTTTCAGCTGAGGACAGGCAGGCCTTCCAATGGAAAAGAAAACGGACATCTCCTGATATTTGGTATTTTTTTTTCCTGATGGAAAAATGCATCCTCTCTCTCTCTCTCTCTCTGCAATCCAAGTTTATGCTAAATTCTGAAATCCGGTGGCGGGCTGAGAGCCGATCTGATTGCTGGAAGGAGAGAAACAGTAAGAAACAGTTCCCAAAGAGAGAGAGATGTGTTATTCTGTGTCAAGTTGTTTAGCA